CGCGTTTAGACTTCTCTAACGGCCAGACTACATATCGTGTGTGTGTTTGTCGGCCAGCTGCCTGACAAAAACCTGATACCACAATATCATATTTGTGTTATTGATTTAAACGCGAAAATCATTTCCACAAAGAAGTATTAAAAAGTGAATATTTTCAGAAAATTGAATTGTAATTAAAGTATTCCTTTCCTAAACACATAGGTGGATATTTTGTTCGGATGGATTTAACATACCACATAGGCTTTATTTATAAAAATGTAGCCAGATAATATACAAATCAAATGTATTAAAAAAAAAACACCCTGTAGCTAACACTGTCCTAAGCACTAAGGAATAACTATTCTGCTAATAAAGTCTACTAAGCTCATAAGCTCTTCATTATAATATAAAATGTTCAATGCTTTCTGCTCGATTTAAGGCATATTCAACATATCTTAAGTCCAAAAGAATCTCAGTAACTCATACTCTTATAGTGTTTTCTTACAGATAGACATCTTCCTGCTTTCGTTAGAATCTGTTTCTCTTTAATTTTAAATAAATTCAACATTTTTTAAATCCAATAGAATTTCAGTAACTCATACTTCTATAGTTGTTTCTTACACACATTTTCCTGCTTTCGTTAGAATCTGTTTTTCTTTGATTTAAAATAAATTAAATTTTTTAAATCCAATAGAATCTCAGTAACTCATACTCTTATAGTGTTTTCTTTTCTATAATATGGTTTCGTTTCGTTTCTCTGATTTTAAATAAATACAACATTTTTTAAATCCAAAAGAATCTCAGTAACTTATCATCTTATAGTTTTTTGTTGCAGATAGACATCTTTGTCTAATATATAATTAAATGTAGTATAATTATTCTCTAACCTCAGAACCTTTAACCCACTTAGCAAATCTTTGTATGCCAATGCCAGCCATCTATGTGGATGAACCCTCTAGCCATTAGAGCTCATATTTAATTGCTTCTAATCCTGTTCTATGCATCTTAAAATGCTGATCTCCTACCAACTCATCTCTGTTCTGCAATCTCTTTTGGTTTTTCTTTGCTAAAGATTTTCAGCCGTTCGTAGCCACTTTTTGTTCATCAGTTGGCCACAATCCTTGTGAGCTGCCCACCCCATGACCGAGAGTCGGCGACAGCTCAATTTTGTTACCCACCCAGTTACAACTCAATCGTACCTGGGCCGGCTAATTGATTAGCCATTAACCCCAATAAGCGCAAGACGGCGAACGGAGGACAATTTCCTGACTGCCTGACTGCCTGGCTGGCTGTTTGGCTGCAAGGCCTGAGAGCTACACAGCGACACCTTTTATTCATGTATTTCGCTGTTGTTGTTGTTTTATTTTTTCCCGTATTTTTCGTGTGCGTTGAAAATGTCATAATAGCCCACACACACACACACACACACACTCAGGCGGAGAGAAAGAAAGACGTAGACGTACATGTACCCTGCGCCAGGCTTAATTAGGCTTAATTATGGGCCAGGGCCAAACGATGGCCAACAAACGACAAGTAGCCTGCAAAACACTTTCAAGCCACATTAACAGCTCATTGTTTGTTGTTGTCGTTGTTGCCATTGATGTTGTTGTTGTTGTTGTTGTACGCACAGCACAGGCTGTGGAATTTCAGGAAATGCAATAAAAACTCCTCAGTTAGTAAGTGAGTGTGTGAGAGAGAAGGAAATTAAATTAACTCACCCAAAAATAATGTGTGGCCCATATGTGCGTGCATGTGTGTGTGTGTGTGTGTGTGTGTGTGGCTAAAACAAACAACGATGTTGGTCAAAAGGTGCAACTTTTACACGTAACGATTTGCACGAACTATGGAGCCACCACAGCCCTCTCTCTCTCTCTCCCTCTCTCCCTTTCTCTGTCGCTCTGTCTCTCTCATTCTGCGCGGGCAACAACCACACAGCTTTAAAGCGAACCACACACAGCAGATGATGATGATGAGGCTGCAAATGATTTCGAGGCAAGGCGCAGCAACAACAGCAACAACAGTAACAACAACAATAACCAACAACACAAACGAGAGCAAATCGTTTTGTTGTCGAGCAAGGAACGCGCCAGCGCAGCCCACCTTGCCACCTTGCAGCCTTCCCACATCCTCATCCTCATCCACATCCACATCCCCATCTTCCTTTTATACTTATATCCAGGGCTCTTGCGTCTACATCTGCACGAGCAGCAGTAACAACAACAACAGCAACAAGGTTGATTTTGTGCGCGTGTGGTGGGCCGATTTGTTGACCAACTCTGTTGGCTCCATCAGTTGGCGTTTGGCTCCTTGGCCTCCTCACTTAGCTCGGCCGATTTGGCTGCCTTGGCCGACTGTGGCTTGGGGCCATGGCGCGACTGCTTGGCCATAACAAGCTGCCAACAACTGGCGCCAAGTGCTCAATAATGTTAACGAGCTATTCAGTTAAAACAAAAAAAATATATACATATATATGTACATATACACACACTCACAAACGCACACACACACCTATATGGAGCCCAAAAAAAAAAAAAAAAAAAAACAAACAAACAACAGCAACAACCACAGAAAAAGCGAGTAGAAGACCCAAAGAACAGACTGGGGTTGCCTGCCTTGCTTGCCTGGAAATAAAAAATAATTTGCAGTCCAAAAGGAAGAGGCTGCAGAGACTGTGAATGTGTAGCAGCTAAAGCAACAACAACAACAACAACAGCAACATTAGCATCGGTTCTGCCACTTGCTGCGGGCGATTCAGCGCACCTCATCGAAGACTGTGGGGACTGAAGACTGGGGACTGAAGACTCAGACTGAACTCTGAGGCTGTAGCTAAATAGAAACATCCCGACGTCATTCAGTCATTCAGTCATCCAGTCATCCAGTCAGTCAGTCAGTCAGTCAGCCAGTTAGTGAGTCAGTTAGTCAGTCAGGCAGCCGCTTGGCAGACATCAGTCAGCTTGTTAGTTGTTGTTCTTGTTGTTGCTGGTTTTTTTATTCTTCTTCTTTTTTTGTTTTTATCAAAATGCAGGCGCAGGCGCAGACGCTGCCGCTACCAACGCTCACGATGATGATAATGACGATGATAATAATGATAATGATGATCTGTGAACATGAACAAGACGTTCGTTAAATTTGATTCATGAGGCGCAGTCGCAGTCCCAGTCTCAGTCACAGTCGCAGTCGCAGTTGCTCTTCAGAGCAGCGATTGAGTGATTGCTACTTAAAGTTATTATTTTCATATTTGTGTGTCCATTTACAGTCGAACCCATTGAAAGGGAACTCCTTAAATTGGAGATCACCTCATGAGGTAGTTCCTTGATGTTTTTTGCAAAGCAACAAACTGATGCAATTAACCAAAATTTAGCAACAAAATAAATTAAAGATTAATACCTACCGATCAAAAAAAAAAAATTCACATGATAATAAAAAAAATAATTCTAAAAGCAAATCTAATTAAAAACAGGGATAAAAGGGATTTTTCAATGCAGTCACATTTTCCCCAAAACTATATTTTACTTTTCAAAAAAGTCACTTTTCTTAAATGAACTTCTTAATAAATAAGTTGCTTATAAGAAGCCACTCCTTCAAAAAACAATGCAATAAGCAAATCTTTTTAAAAACAGGAATGCATTTTTCCCAAAACTAAATTTTATTTTTGAAAAAATTCACTTTTCTTAAATGAACTTATTTATAAATAAGTTGCTTATTAGAAACCACTCCCGCAAGAGCTTGCAAATTTCTCTATTTAAACGTCTCCAATATATATGACTTTAAAAAAGTTTAACCTTGTTATTCCAACAGAGGAAGCTTCTACTTAATTTATTGTCTTAAATCTTAAATATATTTAAAGAATGAGCAAGAAACTATTCTTAAATATACTATAGTCTTTCCGCACTCTCTTAAAAAACATTTTTTTTTTAAAAAAAGGGGAAATTCGGGTCGAAAGATTTCAATGATCATTCACAAAAGATTGTACTGAAGCTTTGTTTTATATATTGTTAATATTTTTTTTTTTAAATGTATGGATCACTTTCTCTGAAATTGGTAAAGAATATTTGGTAATCGGACTAAGGAATCAGCTCTAAATAAATTACTTGCCAAGTTCTTTTTTCCATATATATTTCTGCACAATTTTTCAATTAGGGGACGCCTTAAAGATTAGGATAGTTGGCCTCAATGCACAACTTCTCTAGGCAGGTAGATCTACTGGCTGGGAGGGAGGTCCTGCCACAAGGATGACAATTCAGCACAATTTGCCAAGTTCCTTGTAGCGATGTTAGACGGTACAGGTTGGTTCGTGTGAGAGTGCAGTTATGCTGCAGTGGCCCTTTCTTTAACTCAGTGCATATGTGTGTGTGTGTGTGTGTGTGTGTCTTTGCTTGTGGCAATCGCCACCAACGTGCAGCAGCTTGGAGCCAAAACCAAAAAGCCTGTGTGGCTGCTGCCTTCTTAGCTGGGCCATGTAATTTTCGAGTTTGCACATTGCCACCAACATGGATGGCTAAGGCTAATCAACAATGGAACGAAGCGGGACGTGGAGCGTACTGGCCACATCCACATCCACAGCAACATGCACATGCAGGCTCTTCTGGCAGGCGGGCTGGCTGGCTGGCTGGCTGGCTGGCTGGCAGGCACATCTTGCTTGGCCAATTTGAATTTAGCTGCGCGAACGACTCGAAACAATTTGCGGCTTGGCGCCACTTGATAACCAACTGACTGGACGGCCAGTCGACGGTTTGACTTGCTAGTTGTTGCTGTTGTTGCTGTTGTTGTTCGCTTGTTGTTTGGCCATTTGGTTTGTTTGTTTGTTTTCTGCGCCTGGCACTGATAATGATGATGATGATGATTGTGCGGCATGGCGCCCCAGCCTGGTGGCCTGAGAACCGAAACGAATGAACCGAATGAACCGTTCGTTTAACGTTTAGGCGCTGATTAATGTTTTATTTGATTACCCAGCCATATGTATACCTTAACTGCTCACTCACTCTCTCTCTCTCTCGCTCTTTCAATCTTTTTTATTGCAGACAAATGTTTCCGCAAATGAAATTTCGTGTATCGGGTCTGGACGCCAAGGCTAAATACATATTGCTACTGGACATTGTGGCGGCGGATGATTATCGTTATAAATTTCATAATAGGTAAGTAAATGTTATGCCCAAAATGAAATGGATGTGTGCAAGCGTGATTTCAAAATGCATAAAGCTACGAAATTATTGGATGATCCGAAATGAAATATTGAGTGGAAAAATCTCATCTCTCTTTTGCAGTCGTTGGATGGTCGCTGGCAAAGCGGATCCCGAAATGCCAAAACGCATGTACATACATCCAGATTCGCCCACAACGGGTGAGCAATGGATGCAAAAAGTTGTTTCATTTCACAAATTAAAATTGACCAACAATATTAGTGATAAACATGGATTTGTAAGTACTGTACGTCTTCTTTGTTTACCGCATTAGTTATTTAAGACAGATACCGCAGGTATCGAAAGTGCATTGGATTTATTATTATTTCACCTTTTTTCGTTCATTATTTCCACCGACTTGACCATCGCTGGGTACGAGTATATCAACAGACGATAATGGCGAAATGTAACCCAACATGCTAGACAATTATGGTTTCAACTTGACAATTTAGAGATATTCCGTCAACATTGTTGATGGAAGTTCTTGAAAATATTTCAATTATTGTTTAAGTTTATTTTGGAGATTGTGTTGCTCGTGAAGTTCTTCAGTGAGATGAAGTTCCATTAATTTTTATTGTCATTCCATACATCTATCAACAATATTAACGCGTATTATGGGTTCAGCTTTGCAATTTAGAGATATTCCTGGCATAAGGCCGACAACATTGTTGATGGAAGTTTATAAAACATTTCAATTCTTATAGAAGTGCATTACGCAAATTGTGACGCTCGTGAAATTCTTCAATAAGATGAAGTTCCATTAATTTCGATTATCATTCCATACATCTATTGTGGCAGTTGCTGATTGATCAACAATATTAAAGCATATCTTTTTGTCTTCATTCTATCTTAATCTTTTTTGATAGGAATTCTTGTATAAGTTTATCTGCAGATTTTGTTGCTCGTGAAATTCTTCAAATAGATAAAGCTCTAGTTATTATTCAATTATAATTCAACGATCAATGTAACGATTGATCAACAATATTAACGCGTTTGTTTTTCTCTTTATTGTACATACAATCTTATTCGATAGCAATTCTTGTATACGTTTATTCTGCAAATTGTGTTGCTCGAGAAATTCCTCAAATAGATGTAGTTCCAATAATTTCGCTTACTTGTATAATTCAACGATCAATGTAACGATTGATCAACAGCATTAAAATTTAGAATCTGACTATTTTGTTTGCAATTTCTTCAATTGTTCGCCTTGTCTTTGCTTTTCTTTTATTTATGGGGTATACCTATTAATGAGAAGACATTAGAATCTGTTGAGCCAACGGGCAATCAATAGGGAATTGGAAGTGAACAAGTTTTTTGCGTGGCTGGAAGCCACAACCAGCAGTTGCTCCTCTCCATCTCCATTCATCTTATCGACGCTAGTCACACTGTTTGTCTTTGTCGGTGGTGCTGGTGCTGGTGGTGTTGGTGGCGGCAAGAACCGCTCGCAACTTCAAAGCTAAACCACCATCTACAAGGCGATATATCAAAGGAAGGCGCTGTGCCGCGCTTTAACACTTGGAGGCTATGGCGCACGCATTGCTGTGGCGATTTGCAACTGTCGGTGTGGCGGCTACTGAGATACTGCTACGGTGGCTATGGTGGTTATGGTGGCTTCGGCGGTGTTTCTTATCAACGCAAATTTGCGTTACATCCGCGGCCGCTTGCACTTTGAAGTAATATTTGAAGGCGCTGAGGGCGCGAGGAAGAGGAGTGGCAGTTGGTTGTGGAGGAGTAGGAGGTGGCCGGCGCTTTTATCTAAAACTTCTCACACGCACAGAGTGAAGAAGTAGTGGAAGCTGCCACGGATAAGGCGGCAACGACAAGCCGGCGGCACGACAACTTTTCACCACACTCTCTACTATATGTATATATATATATATATATATATATCGCTCCTGCTCTCTCACTCGCTCTCCCTCTCTCCCTTTCTCTGTTGCTCAATGTTGTTTCTTCAATGATATTCAAATGGAGCGTCTGCAGAATCTGGAAGAGTGGGCGCTGACTGCAAATTGGCAACTTTGGCAACAGACGGACATCAGTGGTGAGGTGGCGCGGTGGTGCGGTGGTGCGGTGGTGCGGTGGCGCAGTGGCAAGCTGGAATGGAGAACGGGCGGTTTAAGATCTTTAATTTGTGCTGTGACCAAGGCCGATCGCTTTGAACTTTGCCGCCTGCGATCGCGTAAATTTCATCAACTGCTGCACAAATTTTCATTTTATTGATCACCGCCGGCGCGTTTTCTGCCACCCGTTGTGCCCATAAGTCGGCTCCCATTCCCCTCTTCCTTCCATAACGTTGCCCACACCATCGTCATCGACATCGTCGTCATCGTCATCGTCGTCGCTGGCGGGCGCCATGCAGTTTTGTCATGTCGTCTCTTTCTCTGCTTATTTTGCATGCCAAGTCATAAATCGCGCACCGAACAAGGGACGCAACAAAAGTCGGCGCTTCTATTAGGGCGCTGCTATATAGGCATGTATCCCAGAGCTCTCTACATATACTATATATATATATATATATATATATATATATGTTTGTGTGTGTGCGTGGGCCTGCACTAAGTAGCCTGTGTTGGCCATTAATTTCGCTTTAGTTCAAACGCCGAATGCCGCCACATAAAATAATGACAACGCCATCGTACATCGCCCATTTGCCCACAAAACGCTGCGTGTGTTCTTCTACTTCTATAAGTACATATATAGATACATATATACTTGTATATATTGTTTTTGTTGTTGTAAAGTTTTGCCAGCAAAAACACAACGCCCCACATTGCCTAAAAGGACATGCCCATGGCTTGTCCTTGAGTCATGAACTTTGCTCAACAATTCCTTAACGCGCAACCACAAATACCAATAATAATCATGAAAAGAAAAGCAAAAATACAACAAAAAAAAAAAAAAATAATAATAAAATGAAAAGTATAACTAAGTAACGCCCATAAATTTTTTACCAGCTGTTGTGGCTCTCAGCACCCTTTGTGTGTGTGGCGCGCGTGATTATAGCTCGACCCGGAGCGACCCGACCCGGCCCGACATCGGCTCGACATCGGCGTTCAGCATTCACCAGATACCTGTGACATTGCTCGGAATCTATAATTTAACACTTTTTGCGGTTTGGGCGTCGGCAGCGGCAGTGGCAGCGGCTTCGGCATCGTCAGGCCTGTTGGCTGCGTGTCAAAACAACAGAAAGTCGTGTGTCCTCAGTTACCTTTGTAAGGCCCGTTGTAACCCATAATTGCAGTCCATACTCGTATGTGTTTGAATATAAGGATCCTGGTCTCATGCCAGGTTCAGGTTCATTTGGCATGCATGCGTTCAACGCCTGCCCCATGACCAAACAGTAACTAATAACAAAGAGTTGGAGGATGGAGGATGGAGGGAAAGCGTTACAATCGGCGTGCCGAAAATTATACACCCTGTAAGTTTACATTTTGAGGCGTATAGAACCAACAAATATGGTAAAAAAGAATTATTTCTACAGTTTATTTAATCGATATATCATATAGCACAGAAGATGGTATTCAAGTCTGGCATTCGTTGTTGGGATTCCCTATTTGCTCTTTGGTTTCTCATTCGACTTACAGATTCTGGAGCTCTTCGGGCATTTTGAAGATTTGTTCATCAACTGAAATCTCCAATGTAGTCCCTTAATAATAGCAAAAGCACTTATAGCAAAAGACCTTAAATAAGCAGATAGATAAGGAGAAATAGCAGAGAACACCTAAAAAACATTTTTTGAAAACCAGAGCGCAAAGTAAAGATGGCATAGAAGTATAGACGAGTCATATTAGAAAACATTTCAGCTCAAAGAAACACAAATCTGACAAAAAAATGTTGCGATCCTGCTGCAGTTTCCCTGCAGACTTCTTACTAGAGGGGTCACCAAATAAATTGGGATAATGTGTATTAAGTCCTGTGACAAAAACTTAAGAAGTCGTCTTCTAATAGAATTAATTTTCGTTCGTTTGATTGATTGCAGCTTCTCGCTGTTTTCCAGTTTCTGCAAAGACTTACTACAAACCTCATTATCAAATGGACATGCCCTGTAGAAGGTTTTTACAATTGCAATAAAAATATATACTATGTATATACAAGTATACAAGTATATAAAAAAAAACCGAAGCCCTTTGAACATTGAAATGCACTTAGCAAATTATCGGGCGACTAAAAACGCGCGCTTTTTTTAAACGCCATACGTGTGATAGTGTATGTTTGTCTTTGTGTGTGTGTGTGTGTGTGTGTGTGACAGTGTCCTGACATGAGTGTGTGCGTGTTGGTCGGCCATGTTGCTGACGCAACCCTAAAAAGCGACTCTGTCCAAGTAAAGTGCCAGGCGGATTTCTTGCCATACATACGGACAGGGGTGGGAATGCTCGTTCGGGGCCTCGTCCTGGGTGCAAGCGAGACAGACGGCATTTATCCTTAATAATGCGCCTAATGCGTTTAATTGTGGAAGCTGGAAGCACAAAAAGCTTTGCCAATTAGCTGCCAATGCCAATGGACAACGCACTTTAAATGCTACAGCAGGTTTCTAGCTAGCTCTAGAGTAAAGGCAGTGAAAAGAGTGGGGAGTGAAGGGATTGTGGAGTGGGCAGTAGGCAGTGGGCAGTGGAGAGACGAGGTGGCCTCAGTCAGGCGCAATTCAAGGCAGTGGCCCGTGCATTGTCAAGTGTCGAGGTAGCGAGCTGGGCAACGCAACGTCTGACGCCATTAGTTTTGTATCATAGTTCAAAGCATTGATGGCTGACCCATCAGCGTCCTGTTCATCGTCCGTTCCCATCGTCCTCGATGTGTATGTCGTTGTCGTCGTCGTCGTCGTCTGCTGTCCCACACTTCAGCACACTCCACTCCACTTCAATCCTCTCCACTTCTCTCCTCTCCATAGCTCTCCACTTCCCTCATCCGCCTGCTCATAGTCATCTCAACTCAACTCAATTCTGGCCATCTCTTGTCTCGCTTTGGCCATTGAAGCGTGTGTGCGCGCGCCTTAACTAAGTGGACGAATGCCCCCGAGCTCTCTGCTCGACCTGCCGCTTGTGTAGCAGACGAAGCGCAAAAAATTTGTCACAGCGCACACGGGTTGACAAAATGCTCGCTCGTACTCCAAAATAAAATGAAATAAAGTGAAGTGAAGTTCCATTTCCGGATGCTGCGCCGAGCCTTTAAACGCAAATCAAATTAATTGAAGCTCACATGTCCTGGCTGGCATTTTTGGGTCCCCATGTCCGGCTCGTCTCTGCAGCGTTC